AGATCTACACGTTTTTCTTCTCATTAATATCCACTAGCCTGGAACTTCTCTCGACACAACAAACCAGCGGCGCGTTTCGCTCCACGTTCCTCCGGTTTTCGCGAATAAAGCATGTCGCTAATGACATCACGTATCGTGATCCAATTTAGGAAGAAGGTGGACCAAGCTAGCGTCTTAGCAGGGATCGGCTCGGTCCCTCTCTTTCTCGAACGCGAAATGACGGCCTGATGAAGTTTCTCGGCGTCATGGCGGCTGTTTCGTGGGTCGGGTGTAGTTGGCTAGAGGGATCCAAGCCGTAGGAGGATTAGTACACGACAAAGTTTATAAAAGTGTACTCACTCCATGGGAAACCCCCGGCAACTAACCTAAAGCTGGCCTCCCCTTAAGGCTCGTTCCTTCGGAATCCCTTTCCGAACCCTCCCGCAAACGTGACAAACGCACCTATCGTATGGACGAAGCTTTTCGGGTTAAGAAACGCAGAATTGATCGTAGCTTGGCACGAAACGAATTAATACGTGTGCAATAAAAATTTTGGTGAACTTCACTTTGGTGAAAATCGTGGCGAACTCATTTATGAAATGGACAAACGTGTCACGAATGGCAGATATCAATGAAATTTTGAGACGTTTGATGAATGAAGAGTACCACTGACATCAGTAAAAATCGGTGAGTTCAGTTTGATGAATTAATAGACATGGTATCAATGAAATGTCATGTCGTTTATAGAACAATAATTATGAATCTAGTACAATCAATAAGAAATAACGAAGTAATATATTACTGGACAAAGTACAATAATGATCGTAAGTTTAATAAATAATAGTTCGATAAATTAATATTGATAAATATATTAAATTTTTAAACGATCGAATTTCAGACACTGTGACTCCTTTATCTAACTGATAATGCACGGTTTGAGGTTTAAAATAACTTTGTTCCGATAATTGATTACCATATTAACGAACCAAATTTGATAAATGAAATTTCGATAAACGATACAATCCACTATATCACATATATAGGTACGCTGCTCCAATAGATTTACTTGATCGTATAAAGGTTAACCATACACAGGAACAACCGCGTGCAGAAAGAAAAAGTTCACTAATCACGAACGACACGATCTTCCACTTGTCCATTTTACATTCTAAATTGCAACGTACCGTACGTAAACTCTGCGAAAGTCTAACGGTGTGGAACGAGCGTTAACTAGAAAGAAAACCAACTGAATGGCTCAGAGAGAACCCATTACGCGTATCGCGACATCTGATTATTAGGATTATGATTTTTTATCGCTAAGGGGCTAAGTCACCGTGACGCGCGCGACTAATCTCATCTCGGCCGCCGTAAGAAAGAATTATTCAGCGAAAAAGTTGTTAAAATCAACATCGCGCTGGGAGCGAAAGGGCCGAAGTAGCAGACGGGTCTCATCCTAAGCGATTGGTACTTCTGGACTACATAGAGCGTACTGGAAACCTGTAATTGTCTGGTCACGCGAGGTCACCCTGAGAACACGAACACGATTATACGTGACGTGCACCATACCAGCCATTAAGTTACAGCCAGCACACGACAGATGGTACAGGTTGCTTGAGCATGCCCCCGATGCAATTTCGTGACAGCGGTAAGAATAGCGAGAATCAAGGAGGGGAAAAAACACGAAGGAAAAAAAATTTCTCAAAGTTCTCTGAACATTAGTTTCGCCATGTGACGTGCTCTTGCCGAACGATAATTGTCCGTTCGATGGTGAATTAATTTCTTGAAGGAATATGCGTTTTGGGTTTGTTGTTTCACTGGCCGTGGTTATTTGTTTTATCGACCAGCGGCTAGAATAAAATTGAAATTTTATTTAATTAATTATTGTTCACAAACTCTGGAGATTTTAATGCATTTTTATATTTCTGACAATAAAATTGAACAACATATTGATAGAACGCTTCGGACATTTCGTACTCTGGCTGTTCAAAATTTCCATAATTTCACTAATGAAATTTAAATTTGCAAAAAAGCACAAAATGCATATAATATTTGAAAGTGAATAAAATAGCCGAAACATAGTACTTTATAGTTATAATATCCAGTGAGTGAAGTAAATCTCTATTCAGGTATTCCATTTTTTTTTGTTTAAACATCCGCAGTCTAGTCAATCATCGACATATGTGTACTGTTCGATAGTACTTAACCTGGTAGGTTTATCGTACAAAGTTGTTACGCGTAGGAGATTGACGTTTTCATTTCACGATGATCAACAATAACGCGAGCTCGCTTGTCTCTCGTTTCATGGGCAAGTTTTGGGTCGTACGTATACGTGGTGCTAATCCCCGAGGCTTAGATGCGGGACAGAGAAATCCTGGTGGTTATTCGCAAATGCGTAGCTCGCGCGACAAGATCCAAGATACCACAATTGGCCACAGCCTGTCCATTTTCATTTAAAGTTTCCCGTTTCAAAATTTTCAAGCGTCATCTTCACTTTAAACTATCTTCAATCACCTCTCAAAAAACTTACCATTGCTTATTAGTATTAACCGAATTTATTTATTATTAATCTTTTTTAGAAACATTTTATATTTATTAAGAGATTAAATCTACATTCTAATTATAAAGAACGTGCATATTGTTAACGTCAAGTAAACTTGTTTGTAGATATGTTATTCTAATATATTTACATTTATTATCTTCCCAGCGTGAGAAAAAGAAACTTAGACGTAGAAATATTTCCGCATGGTTTCTATACGTTCTTGCTAAACCTGGAAGGCAGAATAATTAGAGGAGCTTAAAATACATCGAGCAATAAACGTTGGTTTATTTGCTTATAGGTTCAACGCTCTGAGCAAGGAATATGAAGTATACATGAATATTGGCAAACGGGGAAATAAAACGTATTCTGTAGTAGTGTGCCGGATGAAAGTACACCGCGATGTCCGACATAGTTGTCATCTATTCGATGGTTAATTTTCATTGAATTCCCTGCGCCATCCTGAAGAATATCGGCCGTCAGGTTTCTTACTGTTTCTCGTCGATACATTTATTAAGAATTCTCTTTATTAAGAATCTTCTGTTTTCAGCCGTTATTGTGTATTTTCAATATTTTCACATATTCAAGATTTATTTGGACCATATTATATTAAATATAATATACCTGTTATAAGAGATTAATTTGCATTCTTTTTGTGCAATGCAATAAGAATTATCAATAAAATTTATCGTGTAACAATGTACGGTGTGACTGAAAAAAATTCTCACACATCATATTTAATATGACATATGTTATATGCATGCTAATTAACCAGATCTAAATGTATTAAATATCTTTTCATCTTATACAAGAATTTCATATCATGAAAGTGGAATGTCAGATTGTACATTTAATTTCAGTATGTTGTCACGTATTCAATTGTTCAGTACTTTGACGCTAATGTACATATAATATAAACAATCTAATTCAAATTCAATCTGAATTATCATCCTCCTTTGTGATTTAACCTGTGATTTCAATTGAGAACTACATGAATTATTGTCATCGTGTGGCACTGATACCAGCAACAAAAGTTCAGAAATACGAATATTAAGAAAGCTCCTCAATACGCCAGCTGATAATGATAGTGAGATTAAAACGAAACACTGATTGTCGTCAACGAACAGCAAATAACATGCATTCATCGGCATAACACAATAAGAATTATTGTGAAACCGGTGTCAAGGGAGAGCGTTTCATTTTCCCTATTACAAAAAGGCTGCGTCCTGTCAACACACCGGTGTGTTCCCCCGTTAAAATATTGATTCTCTTGAGGGGGTTGGTTCGATTGCCAAAGCGAAAGTGAACGTCCGAACGGCGAGTGAGTCGAACGTCCGCGCGTTACAAAAACCAACCGCAGTAACAATACTTTGCCGCGTATATCGGATCGCGAAGCTGTCACGGTTCGGCCATCATTCCGCTCGACATTCCATGCCGTATGGACACGTAATTTATCCGCAATCAAACGTACTTGTCGCGGTCATTAAATTCATCTCGGAAAACGGTGGACCGATGACACCGATGGCACCGTGTTGTTCAGTTTGTTCGATATTACAATTACGCGGCGCGTAATCGATATTAATTAAAGAGCCACAATACGATCGATTCGAAATGGCCGAGTACATCGGAACTGACACGCTCTATCGTTGACAGCCATGCATCAACCGTGCGACAATTACGCCGCAACAATCGCTCGAGGTTTTTAGACCGTATACTCGATCGTTTTCCCATCAATGGGATCGATATTTTAGCTCATTTGCAGAGATGCTGGCCGTGTATTAATGATCTTTGACTGTGAAAGTACAGACGGATGTTTAAGTACGAGTACTAGTGGACACATGGAAAATTTAGCGAAGCAAAATGACATAAAGGGAAGTGAACTCGCAGATATGTCATTTCGGTATTGGCTAGACTTTTACTCGGAAAATTACAATGCTAAATGCATCAGTCAGATCTTTTTCAGAAAATTCAATTTAATGAAAACCTTTCACGTAACGAAGAAAAATTACATACTACGTTTTTTAAAATATATAATCTCCTTAATCATTTCTTCCATCCCTTTTTATATACTACTTTCCATCCCTTGGCTATACATACTACAGTTTGATCATCGTGGACCAATATTATGCCGTTTAAAAAATTCTACTGTTCGAAATTTAGTTTCCTACATTTTCGTATATTAGTTCTTGAACATTGTATAATTTTATACTTACACGCATATTAGCGGTCAGGTCAACTGAATTCCGTTCGCAAGAATTTAATCTTTTCTCATCGAATTGTTTCTCCACGTGTCTGGAAACAAATTTTTCTATTAGAGTCTTTTTTTTTTAATTAAATATATCAGCTTCTTGAATTATTTTAATAACTATACGTGATAATTACAACAGAAAACACATTTTGACTTGGATGGTAATAATGTACTCGCGGCGCGCTGTTGACAAGCGATATGAAGTCTGACCATTCGCTATGGTTTGATTTGTTACAGAGGGCAACAAGTGCCCGACCCCAGGCTGCACGGGGCAGGGTCACGTGACCGGACTCTACTCTCACCACCGCAGGTAAGCAATTATCGGTAATTAACCTATGCTCTGCACTTTACCCTGGTCGATTAGACACTTAGGCGCTACGACAGAAAGAGCAAGTGAAATAGGACTGACACTAGCAGACTTAGTCGACATATTATCCGGTCGTCGTTGAATACCGAATATAACACCTTCGCGTCTTGATATCTGCAGGCAAAGTCTTCTTTTTGAAATACTCGAAAATCTAACCAAGTTAAAACTCTGATTTTTTTGATAAAGTTCCCAAGAACATATGTACATACATACATCATGTAATGTAACTACAAGCGTAACTTTGAAATAATTTGACCAATGCATTATTGCAGGCTGAATTAAATTGTCTCGTTCGTTTCAAGTTTCATATTCAAACTTTATAGTATTTTTATACTGCACAATTGAATGCACATAACATGGAGAAATATATAAAGTATCCAATTTTATCTTTTTCATTGTATTCTTGAAAGTATGAATGGAAATAAAAATCACACTGAAACGTAGCGATACAGCAATCTCAGATTCGTCGTTCGTATTTTCCCAATTCAGTTGAAACTGCATATTTTTACCGTGCTTCATAATTCGCTACTGTGATTTCAGCCTATCCGGTTGTCCACGAAAGGATAAACTAACGCCAGAGAGTAAGTAGTCGCCGATTGCGGCACCATTATTCGTACTTCTCTTATCGTAGTTACATAGATGCATCTTCTTTTTGCGAGACTGCCTTTTTCACGTGCCGGGGCAAGGGAGTGGCGAGTGTACGATCGTGAACGGCGTGAACTTATTTTTCCCCCAGCAGCGGTAGCACGTTTCTTTCAGACCGATCCGACGATCTTTAAACCGACGCGATCGAATCTATCGCGTGTTCGAGCCAAGCTTCGCGACTCGACGCACCTTTTAGAAACGTCCGTTCGACCGTTCGAAAGTGAAAAGTCGACGCGCGACACACGATGTGATTCGTTGGTAGCGATGTCGAAAGAAACAAACGGCGGGAATTGAATAATAACTGAATCTCTCCGCTTCGAACTCGATTGGACGAAAGTGTAACGGGTCTTGTTGAAACACGTGCCCGTCTTATGTGTGTCTATATGTGTCTGTCTGTTTATATTCTTTGTGCTTTTTCGTTTGCGGGGTAGAGAGCTTTATTTATTGCGTTTCACTTCCGTTTTAATTTTTACCGTTCTGTTTGTAGTTTTAATTATAGTAGAGAGTTTATCACCACACATGAACTTGGTTATGTTGTACCAACGAACTATCTGGAGAACTCGAGACACGGGGGCGGTGCAAGGCTAGCTGGTATGCGTGTGCAAGCACGCCGGATCCGAACGGAGGATCTTGTGCGATTGAGTATAATTGAGAAACGGCGATCGACACATTCTTGTGACACGGTTCACCAGACAACCGGCTTGTCGACCGATCCGATAGGACACGCGACAAGTTTCACCCTGTTAAGCGACGAAAGAAAGAACATCGATTCGTCGTGGATCGACAAACTTGTTATCATCTCACGAAGAATGTTTACCGCTTCTTAATTAATATTTTAATCTTAATTGTTATTATATGAAATCACACGTTAATTTCGCATTTCTATTGAAACGAATTTCGTTGCGTAAACTTTCACACTTGAGGAAAACTTGAAGTTGAAATTTGAAGCTGCTATTTCTAGATGTTCATTGAATATTCATGTTTCGTTTTCAAGAATGATCAAACATCGAGTATTTTAACGAATAAATTTTCCCTAACGAATGAACTTTCCCTGTTACACGAGAGACCAACAAATTATCCCCGATACGAAACACACGAACAGTGATCCATCGATCTACACACGAATCGCAAGTTGTTGTCTTTTATAATTTTGTCACTTGATTATGTCTTTACTTGAGTTTCTCTCTACCCGCTCGGTATACTTAATTGTACTATTACACATTTGATTTGTTATATTTCATCCCGTGACGTTGTGTACCCCATCTCTTTCTCTCTCTCTCTCTCTCTCTCTCTCTCTCTCTCTCTCTCTCTTTATTTTTGTTCCTCTGATTTTTGTTCTCTCCTCTGTCTTTCTCTGTATACTATACACAACATCTCTAACGCCGTGTGTAACAATCGATTTAAAACCGACGCGATCGAAAAGTGTCGGGAAAAGAAAAAGAAAAAAAAATGAAAGAAAGAAACGAACCGTGTTGCCGACAAATATAACGATTATACTCAACGCATAAGAAGGAATCGAGCTGAAATTCACCGAGTTGGTTCGATTCTACCGATCGTATCTTGGTATGCGTGTATGCGTATGTGTGGTCTAGCAATTGATGCGCGTGTAACTCGATCGGAACATGTTAAGAAAAAAAAAAAAAAAAACTTGTCGAGTGGAAAATGACAGCGTTCTATAACCAGGCCACGTGTCTCTGGGTTCCCTACAGTTCTGGCGATGCATGAGACTATTTTGAAATGCCCGACACCTGGTTGCAACGGCCGTGGCCATGTCAGCTCGAATCGGAACACGCACAGGAGCCTGTCCGGATGTCCCATTGCCGCGGCCAATAAGCAGGCTGCACGCGAGGCACGACACAAGGCTCAAGGTAAGGCGTCGCGGCGACTCTACAACGTGCCTGGAATTCGATCCCGGGGGAGAAAATCCTCGGATCGAGCCGCCCCCGTGAAAATCGGATCGGGGATTAGAAGCTGCGAAACGAATCTCCCCAATCGTTTCTCGATAATTCTCGTGATAGCGAACGCGAGAGGTCCATTTCTGTGTGTTTCCTCCTGAAGATACATAAGATGAAACAGCCATATCGTTGATTTATTTGTCGACGAGTAGTTTTATTTATTCGCGAGCGAGATGAGACTGTAAATCGTTTGAATTTCTCAGACATAAAATTGGTTATCCCTACCTTTCACGAAGCTATTCACTTTCTTATACTTTCTAATCTTTCTAACTTTATTGTATATTCAATGTGTCACGAGAGAAATTTTATAAATTTATTTATCGTGAAAAGATAGTGCAAGTAATTGCAAGGCTGGTTCTGAGCACAATCTGTACAATGATCTTTAACATTCTCATATATAACACTTTCACTCAGCATGTTACTTGCAAGCTTTTGTCTAGCGTATTAATCGAAAAGCAAGCATGGTGTCAGTCAACTGTTTCCACGATGTAACCAACCAATCGAAAGTGGAACACATGGTAATTATTATATTTTCGCGACAGTGTCCGGAATACCTCCAGAATACATCAGCACGAACCTGTTGCCACCGTCGATGGATAGCAAGAGCTATTCCCAGTACGGGTCCACGGCGCAGGACACAAAACCGGTGTTAAGCAGCCTGACCTACGACTACTACTCTACAACGAAGAGCACGGGGATCAACGTAAAACCTCCGAAAACACCAGAGGAGAATCCCTCGTCCCGTACGACCAAGGTGGTCCCAAAAACTGAGAATATGACGCCAAGCGGCAGTTGCTGCAACACTCTGTCAACCAGAGGACAAAACACCACCGACTTACTGGTACCGAAAACGGAGGAGACTGCTTCCTGCCGAGTTAACTCACCGCCACCGCCTCCGCCGCCCACAGTGCGACCAACCTACGACTCCTACATGAATCAAGACTCGAACTCTTCGTCCATGTCGTCGATGGACGCGATGGGATCCAGGGGATCCATTGGCGCGACGATACATCATCCGAGCCAGCATCCGACGCACCACGTGCTGCCTATGCAGCCCACGGTCGCTTATCCGATGCCAATGGTCGAGGACACCAGGATGAGTCATCAGATGTCGCAGAGATCTCCGTACGAGCCGTCGGCCATGATGGCCGCAGCGGCGGCAGCTGCTGCTGCGGCCACCACCAGCGAGGAACTTTATCATCACAGATCGGCGGAGCACGCGAGAGCATACATGCACCCTGGAGCGAGTAACATAGCCAGACCAGTTGTCACTTACTCGAACGAGATCGCAAACGCGAGGGGATATGAGAACGCGGTAGCCAGTGCGGCGAATCATCGACCGTACGATCCTGGCACCACGTCAGCTTACGAAAGATACGACACGCAGAGTTGCGCGCCGATTCAATCTCAGCAGCAGCAGCAGCAACAACAACAACAGCAGCAGCAGCAGCAGCAGCAACAGCAGCAGCAGCAGTTGCATTCAAGGACGAATATGTATTACCTGGGGCAGACTGGGATGACGCCGGAGGAACAGGAACGGGTGTACCATCAGGAGGCTGCGGCTGCTGCGCAGCAACATCAGATGGCGATGGCCGCTGCTACGGCTGCTGGAATGATGAAGACTGAGGATGGTGGGTTTCGTTGTTTATGATGTCTTTACTATAATTTGAGCAATTTTTTATCGAATTGAAATTAATGATAGTGCTTGTACAATTTTATTAAAGTTTCCAAGTAACGATGGAAGCTATTTACAAAGACGTACTTCGTAATTGTCTCGATTATTTTTATCGTTACAGTAAAATGCGTCACAGTAGCGCAAGTTCAGCAAATGCAGAAGCCTGGTGGCCCTCCAACCTCTCCAGGTGGCTCAGTGATGGACTTGTCAACCTCTAGCGTCACGTCAACGAGCCCACAGGTAGGGACGTCTATCTAAGCGTTGAAAAACCTAAGTCGTAATTTGAGAAATTCATAAAAAAAAAAAAAAAATCGCGGTGATATTCATTGCAGGCACCGCCTTACGGTTCCAACAGTCTTAGCCCTCAGTATGGCGGTGGTCAAACAGTAGGTGGCAGTCCTCAGGCTGCAGCAAGCCCGCACTTGACTGCAAGTCCTCAGGTTCCAAGTCCTCAAGGACAGACCCTCGATCTCAGCGTCAACAGGCTCCATAGGTAATTATCGTTGACTTTACTCCTTTACTAAATCAACCCTATTACATCAAATTTGGAATTGAATTTAATCTTAAGTGTGAATAATCTCCAGCACATTTTGGTCAAAATTGAATTAACAATAAAGAATAGATCGCTGTCGATCGTTTTAGTACACGAAAGATGATGTAATTTTAAACATAAGAAGCAGGATTAGGTACATTCTGATACTTATGAGAAAAAAAGATTGAAAGCGCAGTTTGAAAGTTTAAGTGTTTCGCGATTTATCTCCATTGAAATAGCTTCGCATCAATTAAGAATCTACGATGCACGAGAAATTCATCACAATCTAAGACAGTAAAAGAGTAAAATACATAAAATAAAATATAAATGTTCCATTTTCCCGAAAGTGCTGCGCTATTATTTTAATCCTAACGAATTGCCATCCTTCCAACGCAACGAGAATGAAACGAAAGGGAGAGATATTAAATCGTACATCATCTTCATCTGATTATAGCGGCGCGCCAAGTCCCCAATATCCGACCGGCCACGGAGAAGCTGTGGCGGTTCCCGTTGGACCTGGTTTCCCAGCGCCCAGACCAATCGAGGAACAAACCGAGCCTGTGGACTTTTCGACGGCAAACGAGCCGGTCAATTTCAGCGGGGGTCCTGGAATCAGGCCTGTACCAGGCTTCCCGCCACCCGGTGTGCACGTCGCGGCGTACAGTCGTGAAAGCACCCCCGACAGCGGGGGTTCCCACTACATGGACGCTTACCGCGATCCCACTGGTGAGCTACCACTGTTTATCACTTAACTTGTCAGATAGTTCGTCATCGATCATCCGAAAACGCTTTATGACCCGCTTTATGACGAGTCGATTTTATCCTCTGTCTCTATTTTATCTGTCGTTAATGGTCGTTTTGACAACAGATTTAGGAATTGCACTTTCACTGAAAGGTTCGGTCAATTTATTTTTTACGTGCAGTTCTCTGTTTCTTCTTCATGAAAGGATCTGGTATAATTTTGATAATTTTTAACTTTACCCGCGATTTATCAGTGATAAGTAACAAATTTTGTAATATTTTCAAGAAGAAATTGGCAATTTTCGACTGAATTCTTTAAATATCAAAAATAAGTGATAACCTCCGAACCTTCGCTATTTCACGTTCGCACGCAGAGAACTCCAACCACGGCGCGATCGATTGAAAAGAAAATCTAATTGAGCCCGTGAATACGCGGCGTCGTGCAGCAACGGAAGCCGTTACGCTAACCAGAGACAAACTACCCAGAACAAGTAATACGCGACGTATACACGATAACGCCAACTGGATGGTCCAACTTAGACATTTTCCTCTTTGGCTTTCTAAATTTCGACAGGCATATACTTGAAGTATACACGGCGCGCGTCAGCTTGACGCTTCATCGGCCACGTGTAACGGGCGAGCGATGCCGGGGGTTGCAGCGAGGAGATCCATGGACGAGGGATACGGAAAAGAACAAAGAGCTCGACGCCCTCGGGGGGTCGGTTGGGAGAGGAGCGGAACGAGAGAGCGATACGCGGTTACAACCGTCGAATAAAAATTCGCCAGAACAGTACATGACTGCCATAATAGGCACCTATGGCCCCGACTCTCATTTTCCTCGGTCTCTCTGTGCCTTGGCATTCCAAACCTACAGCAGCCCATTCTCCTCGTCCCTGTCGTCGTTTCTCCTATACACACACACACACACACACATACACTTTCTCTCTCTCTTTTTCGCTCTGGTATACTCCGTCCTTTTCCTCTTTCTCTCATCCTCTCTCGCCGTGGCGTGGATGTGCACCAAACCGGCACCCTTCCTACCGGACCCACCTCCCTGTGGCGGTACACGACCATTGTTAATTATCAATATTTCGCGTACACGTAGCCGGCAAAAGTCCGGCACGGCCAATATTGTGCGGACTCTGACGCTGGGGAGTAGTTATTGAAATTGAAACATTCGAGCACACAGCCAGCATGTCGGGTTCGTTCGTTCGTTCGGCGTCGTCGTGTTCGCGCGACGTCCACCGTCGCCCGTACACCGGCTCTCCTCGTCCGTCGGCTATTTGCACTGCAGACGAAATGAATTCTTGCCGGTAAATAAACGCGTAGATTTTACAACGGTTAATCAAGCGACGCGTCGGTTTCGACCTTTGCGCCACCCGAACCTTTGTCCAGCCCGCTTTCGATTGCTTCTTCCTCTTTTTGTTCCTATTCCCTTCTTCCGCTTTTTGTCGTGCTCCCTCTTCTTTCCGTTTGGTTTCTGTTGCTGCACCAATGGCGGTCTCTTCCATTCGCCGTGGCCGAAAGAGAAGCTTCTTTGCTTCATTCGTTGATCGGATCTCGTTGATTATCGAGATCGAAGTGGTTGTTACGCTGTATTTTTGATAAAATTGAAACTCGCAGCACTGTTCGCCAAAGCGTAGGGGTGCATCCGCGCACGTGTACATCCGACACCGACGTCGCTCCAATTTTCAGACCACTCCGCGTTTCTTTGTTCTACGTTTTCGCAGAATATCCGTTGATACAGTAGATATTTGAACGACAAGTTTGACAAGTATCCGAGTGATTTTGATAGAACATTGCCAAGTTCCAATATACGCATATGTATCGGAAAGTGAATAAAGGATGGTAAATATGTGGAGAACTAATTGAATATCAACTTCGTATTAAAAGTAGGATTTTTTTTTTATTTCATTCGAAACTTTTATCGTCGGACGACACTGGAATACTATAGAGATGTTTGTATCTATCAAATTTCGTATTTATCAAATAGTTCATCCACGATTAAATTTTTGATTATCAAGATCACTTTCAGTCTATAGGCATCATAATGGAAATCTTTGATTCCATCGATATTGATATTTTATACAATTTCCGATATTTTTGTAAAATTTGCAACTCTTCCGTACAATTTTCATTCAACAATGTTACAGTGTGAATATTTTTATTCTGTTTCTCAGGCTACGGACCAATGAGCCCGCACCCAGGATACGGAATGACAGGCGTTCAACCGGAATATCCTGGGAACACGTACACTCCTTACCCCACTGCAGGCTATAATTGCGGTGGAACTTATCCCGGAGGTCCTGTGACTTCCGGTTACCAAATCCCAGCTGGCTACACGCCGACACCCTGCTACAGTATGCCACCTCCGCAGCACACAGTCGGACCTCTCGATAAACCAACGGGTAAAGACGATAGGTAAGGAGCTCGACAATCTATTTTCCTTTAAACATAACTCCGCGATCGTGAGATGACATATGACGTTTCTGGTTCATCGGAAACTCAATTCAGAGATCATTCAATATGGAAATATTAGCAGCGTCCGATTAATGAATTGTCTTACATTTGAAATTAAAATTATAATACAGGGATACAACTGAGGAGTACATACGAAAATCAGTGAAATTAGTTTAAAATAAGTTTTACTGAAATTAGTAAAACTCTAAGATTTATAGTCGTAATTTTTGGAAATCTTTAATTTCCATTCTAATTCACTTTGCTTGTAAATTAAAAGAAAGAAAAAGAAATGCAAAAACGAAGTAATAAAATTCCACGATTTCTAAGTTTAGCTTTCAAATTTCTAATTTCTATTCCATTCTTATTGATTTTGAACTTTCGAAATTTTAAAAATTTATCGATCTTTCTCTATTGTTATTACTGAATTAAACTCTGAGCAATTCCACGAATCATTCTACACGCGATATCAAAGTCAACTACTCAGAAAACTCCCCGTATCCCGCGATCGTCGTGGAACGGTCTCGTTCAGTAGAACGGGACGGCGCGTGGCCAGACGTGCAACGAACAAACAGAAACGTTCCATCCCGATGGTATCAGGGTTGTCCAATGAGCCGGACGAAACGTCCACGTGTCAAATAATCGTGCATGCGAGCATCGCAGATTTTGGTACTTGCCTTGCGGAAAGGGTCGCGCGAATCTCTCTCGCGAGAATGTACACACGCGTGTATTCGCGGCTGAAAAGGCACGGGGAGGCAAGATCGGGTTGGCGGCGGTTGGCGGCCAACGACGGCGCAGATGGAGGCGGAGGTCGCGCATACCTACCTCCATTTTGTTAATTAAAGTAATTACTCTTCGTACCGAAAGTGCCAACCTTATTCTAATTGACGTAAAGCTCCGGCGGTACGGTGGAGGAGGCGCTGTTCGGCGCGTAAGGAGAGAAGGAGGTGGAACGAGAGGTTGCCAGAGAGGGTGGGGGGAGGCGGTGAGCTGCCGAGGGTGGATAAGGTTGAAAGAGGAGGTGGGGTATAATCAGTTGCCACCGCACTGGATTATGGGGCGAGACCCGCGTCGTCCCATCGAGGTTAGACCCTTGAAATGCACCTCGGATACCTCGGGCAAAACTGGTTTCCTCTCTTTTCTAATCTCCGCCCATACACCGGAATTCCGTTAATGTCCCCGTTTGACAACGTTCGCACAGATTCTTCGTGAATGTTCCCTCTTACCGTGGTAACGCGCCTCCAAGGTTCTTGATACATCGTAGATAGATCGTCGTAGTTGAAGGATAAAAAAGTAGTGGAAAAAATTGGAAAATTAAATTGAAGTCTTTGAGACTCGAATTATTGAGGTATATTTCTCTCCTACCACTATCAAGTAGTTGAATATTTGCAATTCGAAATTGACCATGAAGTAATACACGTGGAAAAATATTGTCGTAGTAGGGACATTCGACTTTTAAGACAAATTTCAAGCAAATAATACGATACGTCTGGCGAATTAGATTCAACTGCATAATAGTATCTATAGATTCTATTTTTTCTAGTGGAAAGAAAAGAAATTTATCATTGCAGTCTTTTTTTAAATATTCTTACATGTAATTGAAATTTTTGTGACAGTTTTAGACACAACGTAATATTCTGTAACGTTCAATGTTTTATGAGTGATGCTTTACTTCTAGAGCCGTTAATACTTCAATTCTATTATCAATTATTAATATCATATTACGTGCATATATTTTCAGAATAAATTTCTAGATTAAGAATCACAAGTGATTCGTTTCTGCAACGACAAAGAAAGAATTCACCGATCGAAAAGATAAGGAGCGCCACTCACCTCCAATTTTCGATTCTCATTAAACTCTAATCGTATCAGCTTATCAAGCTTAATCTCGTCAGATGGACTCGCCGTCCACTTCATACGAGGCAGTAAGAAAGTAAACTCCACGTCGTTCTAAGACGTTCCTCCCCTCATTCTCCCCCATAGATAAACCTTCGTAAATGAATCCCCCTGTTCGGACGATTGGCGATTCGACCGAACAACGACAACGCGACTTATCGTTCGGGTACGAAGACAGAGAAGTTAGTTGATGGTTAGACGGAGGCTGGGAAAATACAGAAGGCAAAGCATCCGGAGGGCGTACCGGTGAATTGCACTCAAGTCCGCATCCGTCGGCTCGGTTGGCCGGCAATATCGCGGCTACTCAAGGGCCATCGAGGTTTTCGAGGCTTCTCATAGCCCGGCGGTAGTTCCGCGTTCATCTACGAGACTACGAGGAGACGAGAGGAAAAAGCAGAAGCAAACCGCTCTCTTTCTCTCTCTTATGCTCTGGTTCCGTGCGTATATTCCTTCCGCCTCCTGCTCCTCCTGCTGCCGCGCCTCTTCCAGGCTTTTTCTCCACCGACCGGCTGCCGAACTTTGCCTCGATATTTTTTCTTTTTTTTTTTTTGTTCCTCTCTCTCTCATATGTCGCTATCACGCCCGGCTGTCCGTGCACCGGCGCAACCTCCACCTCTCGCCCTGGCCGAGACGGAAAAGTTGCGAAGCGCAATAAAACTTTCCGGTTTGCTATCCCAGCTCTGTAACGACGCCGCGCCGCGGCGATTGCGTTCCGGCCACGCTCGTATCCCTGGATGTCCGTAGCGACGTTGTTCGAAATTAAAAAACCCTCTATCATTCTCTATCTTCGTTGTCACACGTGCGAAATTTTCATTGGATCTCGCGAGAATGAACTCGGGAGGAGGGAGGGGGGGGGGGAGGGGTTCGAAGGGAAAGCGACGATATCTTTATTTGAAGGTGTTTCTGAAAATGATATCACTTTTCTGTCGGAGCTCTCGGACGTGTTCTCCGTTAGCACTATAACAACCACTGACGTTAGTGCTGTTCAGTGTTAGCGAACGTTGTCGAAAAATGTGTTGCAACGAGACTGCAGAGTTTTACAAATATTTCTATAAAACGTTGCTAAAAAGAGTGGAACGCAAACAGAAACGTTCGTTCCCTTTAATATTGAGTGTTAAATATCCCACGAATGTGTGAAATTACGTAGTCTAGTTATAACAAGTTTCAATCACGCATCTTCGTTCGCATTCATTCATCTCTACATATTTTAGTACTTTGACCTTTTCAATTTTTACAGATTCATAGTTGTCGATCGTTCCTTTGTTAGCAGTAAAAAATTACATTTTCTAAATTCTTAGTAGAATCTGTTAGCCCCTCGATGAACGTTACTGTCGAAAGTAACCCGGCTCGTTGTAGTGTTAACGATGGAATAACGTACGCCACCATCCGTTTGTACGATTTAGCGAGCGATTACGCGTACGAAAGGATACTATATTAGGTGCAGGCATACGAGAGACGAGCAATCGCGTTCAGTATGTCTCATGTTGATGTTGTTCGGTGCAGTATGAATATGAGGCGGTTGAATTTCGCGCCTCGGCCCGCTCCTCGTGGTCGCGATGGCAAGGAGCTGATACAGTGCCCCACGTCGTCCTGTGATGGCATGGGTCATGTCTCGGGAAACTACGCTACCCACAGAAGGCAAGGCAGCATTGACATTGACATTGACATTTTTACAATCCGACGACATCCGATTATGTATAATTTATATATTGATATAGCGATGCAGCACGCACGCACGCACGCTCGACATATCATACACGCATAATACACACACGAACACTCATACACATTCATACATATTGGAAATTTGTTACACGATTTATATTCCTCTGGTTACTTCCTGGTTGAGTCGGTCCAAAGTGAAAAAAAGGAAAAAAAAAAAAAAAGAAACAGAAAGAATTCCTTGACAGTAGCTCGATTCCTTGTACAGCACATACTCTCGAGTACTTCCATTCAAAACCATAGAAGACACGAGAGGCGTTAGAGTCACACACATCGAACACGATCATTGAGACACGTTTAAACATTCAGAACGATCCTTCACGAAATATGCGAGAACTACATGGATGGGTTTTTTTTGCATCGATGCATATTGGTGGTCCGTGGCGTAGTGGCTTCTTAAGTGTTTTGTGACACTATATCATTTTTATCTAGAATATCCCCTTCACCCCTTAATTCCCTCGCTAAACCGGTCTTGATACTCCCAACTCGATATTGTTGTTACTCTTATTATACGTGTTACACGCCCGATTGATAGCTACTTTTACATTCATTTTTTTTTTTTTTAATTTCCTTTTCTTTCTTCTTTTTCTTACATTTTTGTCACATTCCACGGTCTGTTCTATCTTTTTCTTCTTTCCCCGATATATTTTCTCTTTGTGTACCTACTTTTCACGTAAGCCCTCCACCCTCAGTTGCGTTACGATATTATTATTAACCAAAGTGTGTAGATGAGTCTCGTGTTGAATGAAGCACCACTTGCTCCCTATTTCGACCCGACCCCTACGAAAAGGGATGGCAAAATCATTAAGACGATCGCCGCGCCGGTTGAAGAGCAGCTCCGTGCTCGTACAATGATACGATGCTTCCGCCAAGTCTCTGTCTTGAACTGTTAACTGTTAATTGATATTCATTTTCATATACGCATCTCTAAGTATATATAATATATATGTATAATGTATATATTATACGATCACCGAACCCGCCCGAATCCGTTATAAGAACCGCTTCGCCAGCCTCGAGTGGGCAGCTTCGTAGCGAACTGTTGCCAATGACCATGTCAGAGCAGAACCGTAAGAGATAGAAGAGAAAAACAGAGAAAAAAAAAAATGTAGAACGAGAGAAAGTCAGATGATAACGATAAATTGTAAAGATCACGAAAGTGCGCCGCGTCCGGCAGCGTGTTGCACGATTGTTCAATTGTAATCGTTTGATCAGAGAACGCAGAGAAAGACAATTGGCAATTGACGAGTTTCACTGGGGTCAGGTGTGAGTGTGCTCCCTGCTCTCCCTTTCAGTGTTCCTAGAGTAAGGCCAACCTTGTATTGATATGAATCAGAAACGCGATCGATCGATACGAGCGACACCTCATGAGTGATCCAACTGGAACACGGCGTTGCCATTTGCATGCTATCGTATACATACATATATATATATATATATATATATATACATATATCTATATATATTTACATATAATTATGAATCGTTGATTGCCCGTTTCGACTGTGCGTCCACCATTCACCCAATAAATCCATGGGAAAAGAGCCTCGATACAATCATTCGATGTCACCATTCGAGAGAGAAATGGGAACGTATCGTTTCACAACACGAACCTGAAACCTTCCTGTTCAATGTCTTCGTTCGAACTGGACGCAAGGCAAGTCGTCCGACACAGTGAATCGCGCTGAAGGCTGCTCCTTTTACGAAACGATTATTGAACGTGTGAGCAGTAGCCCGCGTAGATGACCTCGATGAGCGAAATTTTCTTGCATCTCGCTTTGACAAAGCAGTTGAATTGTTGTAACAAAACGACGATCACGATCGTCGACGAGCTTGTCGAGCTCATCGAGATCTTCTTCGAAATCATTTACTAGTACCTGGTAGCTTGAACGTAAGTACCCGAGACTTCTTGGCAACGTCGCGTAAATTGCATGCGATGTGTTGCTGAAGCCATCGTTGGATGTTTCTGAGGTGTGCGTTCGTGATCCTGACCATGGGGATTCCTGCGCTGCTTGCTCGTTCTACTTGACACTTTCATCAGACGAAAGCAGATTATTTATTTGAATATTCTTTGGCAAAGCGGGAGCAGCGCAAAATCGTCATGGTACGTCTGGAACGAGTTTAAAACAGCAGGAACTTCTGCTTCCTTTTGCAGCTTGTCCGGTTGTCCGCGTGCCGATCGTTCGCAGATCCAAGCGCATTCTCAAGAGCTCAAGTGTCCAACACCAGGATGCGATGGTTCCGGACACGTGACCGGCAACTACTCGTCCCACAGAAGTTTGTCCGGTTGTCCACGGGCTAACAAACCGAAGAGCAAGCCTCGAGACGGTCAGGACTCGGAACCGCTAAGGTTTGTCATCGACGACGTTCTATCGTCAATCCTTAAATTCCTCGAAAGCTTCCTTCGTCTTCTGAATATCTTAAAGCTCTCAAATTTCCAAGCTAATCATCGTACAATGGACTATCCCATTCTAAAATTTCTATACTACAGTTCTAATACGACGATTTTTCAACAATTTTGTCACATTTTTTCACGTGTCTATTGTTTGCTAAATTTGGAACATCTATCATAGATGAACGTAATGAAAACGATCACCAAATTTATATCTTTTTATTTGCCAAAAAAATATGAGTGCTTTTACGCTACTTTACGAATGATAATAAAAATATTGAAGAATACAGATCGACACAGCAATAAATATACTTACCAGCTACTTATAAAAAGGGTTATAACTCGTTTTTGCTTTGAACATCGTTGAAACGAACCCTAAATCAGCGCGATTGACTTCCGTAGATTTGACCGTGATTAGCGGAGAAAGATAGAATGGAATTAATTGAAGGGGATTCCTAGTCTCTTGCAGACTCTGCAACTTGCGTTACACGTAATCGCGATCCCAATTTGCCGTTTTCACCGTGTTCACCGCGTAGTTGCACGCAGCTACGTGGGTATCTTGCTGACCGCATTGCACGTGCTAAGATCCGCCGGCGGACCGAAAAGGTACACCCCTCCCCCTCCTCCAGACCCTTTCGACGGCGGTGTCCCTTAAACCCCATCCGCTTCCTAAACGCAAAGACGAAGACGCTGACTAATAACCAGCGGTTTCCGCTCGTTTCATGCTCGCTCTCTCACACTGCGTGGATGGATTATATGGTGTTGGTAATGGTGATGTTGGCATTTCGGGCAACAGATGTCCAATCCCCGGTTGCGACGGCTCTGGCCATGCCACTGGCAAATTCTTGTCGCATCGCAGGTAAGCTTTCCTCGCGGTATTTTGTGGAAGAAGAAAGAGAGAAGATGAAGAAGAGTAAATATTGTAATTAAGAACTTAGATGCCCTAAAAAAAAAAAAAAATGCAATGATTAAGGTAGCTAAGATGGGAAAATTTTTAATGAATGCCAAGACATCGAGTCGAGACAGTTTTATCATTCATAATTAGGGATCAGAAAATTTTGAAAAGAAATTTTTTAAACAGCGCGGTGGCTGAAAGAGTACCGGGCATTTTTAAAACATGCCGTAGTCAAGATAACTTTGTGTCTTCTATAAAGTGTTCTCGCAGAAGTTGATCGAGAGAGATGTTTAAACTCAAATCCCTAAAAATGTTTAACCTCGATATAGCCAGTTCGTTTTTTCATTAAGTGCAATAATCTATATTCTATTCTTCTGCAACCTAGCTACTTTTGTCAGCAAAAACAAATTTAACAAATTCGTAAGAGGAATCTCTTCCTATGTCGCACTGAAAAGATAATCACCTCTTCTTTTGTCTCCTGTAAACACAAAATTTCCGAGATCTGTTAAACGACATGTCCGTAATTGCGATAACAACGACTTGTTGCAGCGCATCGGGCTGCCCCATTGCAAACAGGAACAAAATGCGTGTACTAGAATCAGGGGGCACGGTGGAGCAACATAAAGCAGCGGTGGCCGCGGCGACGGCGATGAAATTCGAAGGTGTGAACTGCCCGACGCCGGGCTGCGACGGGATCGGCCACATAAATGGCTCGTTCTCCACTCACAGATCTCTGTCAGGTTGTCCGATAGCTGGCCACGCGGTGAAGAAGCCCAAGTTCGAGGACATGTCGACCATGTACAGCAAAGGAATCACCGGTGAGGATCAAGCTGCCGTTGATGTCTTCGATTATCGACGCGCATCGTTATTAATCGAAGAATAAAAAACAAAAAAAAAAAAAC